AATTGTGCAGATATTAAAAGAAGCAACATTTAGAAACAGAAGGAATACTTGAATTCTATTTGGTAAATATGAAAGGATCCTAGATTCCTAGGCATATACGCCTGATGATGATCTTTGGCTAGATGGCTAGGATATAATTGCGTAACAAAATACCATTATTATGTGATGCAATGAGCATGAAAAAAAAAAGTGCAATTAGTTATAATGTCTAAGCAAAGCAGTTCCAGGGGGCGAATAATTTGATTTGGTTGATCCAATATTATAGTAATAGAAACTAACATATAATGTTTAAGTTTAACTAATTAATTACTAGTAATAGTTAATTATGAACTAAGATGTAAGCAATTACGCTATTATGATATAATTGCAAATTTGTTTAGTGGAGTTATAGTTGAAGTTGATACTGTATTGATGCTTCATTCCTTTAATTAAGCTAATTAATGTACTTAATTAAGATAATTAGTGTAAGCCACATGCTCCCACAAAAATGGAGTTTAACAAAGTGTTTTTAGTAAGCATTCCCCCAAAAAAATGTCGTTATTATTGGCAGGAGGGGATGATTAGAAACTTGCCTTTTTGCTAAGCATCTTTTAGTTTCAACTTTTGAGTAGAATAACTCCAAGGAAGTAGCTTTAATGCATTGCATGCCATCTTTTCATACCATAAGTTTATTAAATTAATATTTTGACTTACTTTAAGGCTTCAACAACACAAAAAATTGGATCCAAAAACTCAAAAAGATATGTATCAAATACATAATGTACAAAACTACAAAAGTCATACATATTTGACATTTCATTAATAGGTCGATATTAATTATATATATATATTGAATGAGTATGCTACATACTACACGTATTTTTTGACTTATAATGACATAATAAAATGACCCAATATAATTAAATAAGATTTTCTCATAACCAAATTAGAAGGGAAAAAAAAAACCGATAAATCGAGTAAACCACAAAAAAAATAGCCTCTAAAAAATCAAACAAAATGCATGTGTATGTGTATACCAAAGCTTTCACTAACCAAAATCAATAGTCCATTTAAGTTGTTATACCATGAGCGTAGAGCACGTTGCTTCCAACACGTACGGGTGCATGATCATGCATTCATGTGTTTCTAACTTTCTACATCATGATGATCATGTGTTATATTATATCACTTATATAATTATATGTACTGTACTATTTTTAAACTATTACAATTTCAACATAAAATCACTAGCTATATGCTCAACGCTCATATATGAAATTCTTTTGTTATACAAGAAAAATGTCATTATGAACCTTTTAATTACAATATTTACACATTTCATAATGAGTCATGGAGTACATATATTTATGGGCTCTCAAGTTTAAATAAATATAATCCTTTGATTATATATACTTTAGAAGATATGATCCCTTTAATTTAAATGCATCATGCATGCTTTGAGCATCATGCACTAACATGAAAACGAATGGTAGCTAATTTAATTCTCAGGGCTCTTATGACAGTGCTTTTGTTACAAGAAAAATACTAATATCAACTCTTTTTACAATATTTTTTTGGAAAATGTTATACATAGCCCTTAGGGCTACATATAAGCATTAAATATACACTTGAAAATCGTAAAAAATTAAAAAATCATCAAAATATAAACACTAATAACACTGATTTACGCGTGTTTTTGTCATGAATTTCTAATTTTATACAATTTTCAAGAGTATATTTAATGCTTATATATAGTCCTTAGGGCTACATATAACATTACCCATATTTTTTTTACACATTTATTCTAGAAAATGAGTCACTGGTACGTAGTTGCATACATTTATGGTTTTGTGTTGGTTTTTAAAAATAATTATGCATTTGATTATACTTATTATTTACTATATTTAGAGCATAATGCTTCCTTTGGTTGCATCATGCATGCTTCCAGTATCTTGCACAAACATGAAAACGAACCCTACTTCAATTCTCATGGCTCGCAAGTCTATTTCACGTGACGACGTCTCCCAATTCCAGCCAAAACAAACAAGAAATCAAAACCATAAACAAGTAAAATAGAATTTAAACATATAATATGACATCAATGTCATATTAATAGGAAAATAATAATCATTAGTAGGGTCCGACAATGAAACCATATTTTATAAATAAACATACACATAATCAAAGATTTAAAAGCAAAAAGAAATCGTTAATTAATTATTATTAATAATAATATTGGTCAATACAAAAAATTACCCAACAGCAGAACTAGTCGCCGACCAAACGGAAGACCACACTAGTATAGGCATATAGCTCTGCCACATACATCATTTTCTTAATTAGCCTAAACTTAACTACCAAAACAATGTCATTTAATCATTATTAAAATAGGGAAAGAGATTTGATATTGTGTGGATTTGATTAGACACAATATGATTAACTTGGTCGATTTTTTAATTATTAGATTTGGAATATTTATGGGTTAGTTGACATTATTATGTCGTGGAGTTATTAATTTGGGTTATTTTAAATTATAAGAATTATTAGTATACAAGTACATATATACAAGTATATATTAGTGTCTTATACTCTTATATCACTAGGGTTTTTGTAAGCTAGTCTAATAAACCTATTTTATAAGAAACTCTACATTCTAATCCTTAAATATTAAATCAATCAAGATTGAATCAGGATTATGTTTTATTATTATTTAGATCTAGGGAATCAAAACCTTAATCCAATGATTATATATATTAGGAGTGGAAATTGTTTATTTTTGCTTGTTTTGAAATAATTAATAAGCCATTTATTTGTCAATTTAGATTCGGTTTAGTTTATTTGAATTTGTCTGATATTATACAATATATTTGTGTCTAGACTTTTTTTGTGAATGTGCCTAAACATATTTAACCTAAACTTATTTTTTATCATTAAAATTGTTTTTTTGTAAACCTATTAAATCTACTTGTGAGTGATATGTAGCTGTGGTATTTTTTATTTTTTATTTTTTTGTTTTTCATCACTAAATGTTATAATAGCACAACATTTAGTTAAGTATATATAAACAAGTATAATAGCAAGAGATCAAAGTAATTACATGAACTCACATCTTATTGAAGGTTACAATTCCATCATACACTTTAGCATGCATGCAATGCTTCACATCATATATATATATATATATATATATATATATATATATATATATATATATATTTGCAAAAAGGGATGAATTGAATGAATGACCTCATAAACCTTATTTTGTAGGGCGTTCACATAAGACAATACATAAGGAAATTGTATAAAATTAGGAATTCATGATAAAAACACGCGTAGATAAGTGTAGTTAATGTGTTTTTGTCACGATTTTCTTAATTTTATACAATTTTTAAAAGTATTTTTTAATGCTTATACATAGAGGCTATGTACATATAGCATTTTCCTTAACTAATTACCAATTCTTATTAGAAAAGCTCTTTTTCGTCTTTGAAAATTAAACTATACAAATTTTAAGATCAAAGTTTATAATTATTAAGTATGATTAACGTCATGGATAAATAGTCCTTGTTGAAATTCCACTTTCCTTCTTTTTCTTTTCTTTTTTGCATGGACCAAAGAAATCCACAATAAATTAATTTTTGAGCCAAAAACACGCATTATTACGTACGGCAACAATCATTTGCAAATTGCAAGTGAGTCATGTTTTCAAGCCTACCCACTTGATATTTATATCCTTCTACGAAGGCGGATCCTGCAACTCAAAGTCAAGGTGTCAACATCATAACAATAGATTAATAGTAAGATTTGTCACAAATTATTTCCTCGTTCAATGGGTAAATTCGTAATTTTTTCTAAAAAATTTTCGTTAAGAATGGAGAAAGATTTAAATGAAATTGTTATCGACTGTTGTACACCATATATATCACGAATTTGAAAAAATTAGCGGAAAATAATTCCTATTTTTCAAATTTTTGTACTAAAAAAAAAAAAACACGGTTGCGTTGTTATTTTTATTAGAGACATGCACCTATATAACTAATAGAATGATATATTTGAATACGAAAATGAGATAAAATAATTTTGGTGAATAGAGGGAGTAGCATTGTAGCATGTAGCTAGGTTGTTACGTTACATTCAATCATCTTTAAATAATTTCTGCTTATTATTAGACAAACGATTAGTTAAAATTTTTAAAATTCCAACTGAAGTAGACTTATAACCAAACAGGTTTATTTATTTATTTTTTGGAGCAAATAACCTAACAATAAGTTTATGATTGTACTAAAATACGAGGTACTAGTTTGTTGAGACTTTAGAGGTGCTACAAGCCTACAATAGATATTAAAAGTTGAGGTTATATTATGATTCGATTGATTCCCTTATATGGACTGCGTTTACTTGCTGTCAATAATATGTATATACCACGACTGCTGCAGTGCTGCAGTGCTGCGGTACGTTTTATGTTTTCGGTGTACATATTTTTATATCTAATTGTCTAATTATGTTTGTAGGATTAGGATAGGTATATACAAAAAATTAAGGACCAAATAATTATTGGCTTAATGGTAAGGATTAAGCTTTCTAACCTTGAGGTTGGGGATGACATTTGGAATGTAGGGATTTCCCTTACCCTTCCTTCCTACTCTCAAAATGTTTAGCCTATAAACTCGATCGGGTTAATCTGTAAGAAGTTTCGGTCTAATAAGACAATTTATCTCACGTAGTTACTTAAAAAATATATACTAATGTATACGAAAATTTGAGAATTAATGATATATAAACACTCTAGATCAAAATCATTTATTTATTTTATTTAGATGAAGATTCTTGTGATAAATGACTAATTATTCATTCTCAATCTTTTCATTATGGAACCCTTAAAACTTCATGTAAACCACTTTTTTAAAAAAATAGTCAATTTTTTTTTTTAACGGAGGCGGTATAAAATATAAATCATATACTAACAAATATTACACTATAGATCTTAAATCCATTATTATTTTACTCTCCTTTTTTTGTCAAATTAAATATAAGTAGTCCTTATAAATTTAACAATAATGTTTTCTCCTTAATCAATAAAACGTAATCTAAATTTATTTTTTCAATTTGTACTTTTTTATTTTATTTTTTTGGGTTATGTACATGTGAAAACTCGTACTTTTAATAAACACACATTAAACATATACTTTTAATTGCTGATAAAGAGTACTATTAAGAAAATGTGCATAATAGTTTACATATAGAGGCATTTTAATTTTGACTTGAACCAAAATTTAAGATAAATAAAAAAAAGTATCCATGCACATATTTATAATAGGAGCATAAGATGAGAAATATAGTAATAATACTTTGTAATAATTCATTACATCACACAGTACATCAATACAAAGGATGAAGATTTGTCCGAGGTAACTTTAGACATGGCTTAAACAAAAATTTATAAACAATAGTGGATATCCTAATCAATAACAATTACCTTTGGAGAAATCTTTACCTAAAACAAACATCCATTCTTTATTACTCGTATAAACTTCTATCTTTAGTAATAAATAACTAATACTCCCTCCGTACACTACTTTTACCACTAATATTTTTTCATGTAGGGAGGCCTATTGTTAATGAGTTCAGACACCATAATTTCCCAAACCCTAATCTCCCCATCCAAGCTCCCACTACAAACCGAAACGACACCGTTTTCCGTCCTCAAAATAGTGGCCGCCACCGCCAACGACCTCACCGGTTTATCATGCCCTTCCAAAACACCCAAACAACAAAACAACCCCTTACTCCCACTCCCACACTCCCCCTCACCTCTCCCCCAAATCCTAACCGTCCGATCCGCACCCCCACTCACAAACAAATCATGTCCGTCCAATCCGAGCAAGCACAACACAGCTCCATCATGACTTCCCACAACCTCGCTCTCTACCATCCGATCATTCTCCCCTTCTTTCTCCCACGCCATTACGACTCCGTCACAACCGCCAGATAATAACACCTTTCCATCCTTACTTAACGCTAATGCATTCACAACCGTTGATCTATGATTCTCCAGGGTACTTACCCTGGAGTGTCGCACCACTTTATCGTTACCCCTCTCCCATACAATAATCTTCCCGTCAGCTGACCCCGTATACACCGTCCCGTTACTCGAAACCACTACCGCGTTAACGGCGTCTTCGTGCGCCGTTAACGACTCTAAACATTTATAATCCGTAGCCCTCCATATCTTCAACGTTTTGTCCCATGAAACGGTATATATTAACCCGTTACTTAACGTCATCCCTGAAACGGCGTCGTTATGTTGTATCCAAAGTTTCCGTTTATTTCTCCTAACTTGCACGTAGTTTTTCGCACAAGCAAAACGACGTAGCTTATCTTTCATTGTTGGGAGGGTTGTCTCTAAACGGTGTCGTTTCCATACTCGGATTTTACTATCTTGATGAGCTGTCAAGATTTTGTTATCTTCGCAGAATGCAATGGACTTGATGAACCCTCCAGAGGACAAATCCCGGCCCTCGAATGAAACTACTGGGGAGAACGTGGTTAGATCGAAGGTGGTGATTTGATTGCCAGACGCGGCGTAGAGGAGTTTACCTTGGGTTGCTAAGCAAGATATGTGGTGGTGGTTTGGTGTTTTTAAGGTGACTATGCATTTGTAATAAGGGTGGTGGACCGGGATTAGTTTTTCGACCGGTTCGATATTGATACGGATACAATGAGATAGGAGGTAATTTGTGGTGGTGCTACTATTGTTGGAGATTGAGGAAGAAGAGGTGCTTCTAAAACTCCATTCTTTAGATAATGTGGAGGAGTTGTTGCTAGTACTACTTTCAAAAGCCATGTTTTAAAGTTCTTTTGGATATCTTAGTGAAGTTTATTTGAGGGGTATATATAGGAGAAAATTAGTGTTACGTAATCGTATATTCGTATGTATCATAGACTATATGTTCCTTTATGCATTACTAATTTATTTTAAGAGAAATTATTACTTAAAAAATAAAAAAAACATGGAGGAAACCAAGAAAGTACATATCATCAGAAATCGGATAAATTGATTTATAATATTAAAATATGCTGAGATAAGTACAATTTTGTACCCCCATATTATTGTATTTTATAGTACATTTATGTAATTATGTTTTCAATTTTTGTTAACTATTTAGTACTCCATAAGTCCAAATTAAATAAATAAATGTATTTAAAATTTAGTTAATTTATTACACAATTTGTGCTTGCTTGACTGCAAATACTATACTATAGCCTAAGTTAAGTGTAAGACAACTTTTATACTACCTCCGTTACAGGTTATGTGCAACGATTAGACATTTTTCCTCTCTGCTTTATGTCAAATCGTTGCACATAACCTGTAACGGAGGTATTATATGTTTGGTATAGATCTAAGAAATGAATTGGAATGGAAACAAATAAGAAGGGACGGAAAAGGATAATGATAAGTGTTACTTGTAGTTCATTTTTTGCTATTTGGTAATGTTACTGATGAAGTTAAAAGGGTAACAAATGTGTGATAATGGTTAAATGCAATGTGATTCATTTCTCATTCTCATGTATAATTGCTTATACAATCAATGGGTGAGAATTGAGAAAGCGAGGGCTTTCATCATACAATTGCATGCATCTTATAAGATATACATAAGTAACATAATTATGTGGATTGAAAACTAATGTTAGTTATATCATGCACAAAGTACAACCAACTTTACATAAACAAAGCAATATGTATGTACTATATAAAATGTATGTATATTGTATAACACTCTATCAAAGCCATACTTTTTTTAAAAAATAAATAAATTAATATTAACATTTTATACAAGATCTTTAAAGAAATGGAAACCACCGAATGTTTGATAATGTTGTGTAGTTAATAAATTTGTTTTATGTGGAGCTTTAGGTTCATGAACCATGTGGCAGTAGTTGAGAGGAGGGGAATAATGCCTCGAATGATGATTTACCCTGAATATTTAATTACAAACGTGGCAATGTATGAGAGGTGGAATTGATTGTGTAGGCCCACTTCTTGGCCAATAGGATCTTAGATTCTTAGTGCTACATTCAAAAAAGAAAAATGACGAAAGTTATTTTTTATGAGAAAAAGAAGTGTGTAGGTCGGTTATGATACGAGGTTTATTTGATTGATTAGTTAGTGTTGCTTCCACCAAAGCAAATGATTGATTCAAGGGAAATAATTTAGAGGGATTACATTAAATATGATTGAATTAATGTCCAAGAACAAACATTCAATAGCAACTATGAATTTATTAATTGAGGCTTTAACTATCTATGTGGTTATGTGATATAATTTGGTGAAGCAACAATTCAAATAAATAAATAAAAAAAAAAGACAATGAGGTTTCATTGTCTTTCACGCGAGTTCTAAGAAAGTGTAATAGGAAAGATCTAAATGCTTTTAAGGTGTAAATGCTCTTAAGGTGTGAACAAGCTACTCGTCAAAAAAAAAAAAAAAGGTGTAAACAAATCTAAATTCTCAACAAAATTGAGCTCGCTCATGCTTGTTAATGAGTTGAATAAGTTTTGAAACTTGTTTGAAACATGAGTTTCAAGTCTTTCAACGTATATGAACAAAAATATACTCGAGATGTTTCATAAAAATTAATGAAAATCACTGGTTTGATTTTTTTGTTTCCATGGAAAAATCATTATATGTCCATCAATTAGTTCATTTATAAATATTCATGACAAACTTATTTATAAGAAAGGCCCAATGCTCATTTAATAATATTTTTTTATAAGTCACAATTGCTAATTTAAATACAAATTCTTGTTTTTTTTTTAAAAATAAAAAACTTAAAATTATGATTAATATTTTATTATTATGCTCGATTGGAAAGGCGAAATAGTTGATTTTAAAAGAACTTGTTTACTTTGTATAATTTTTTTTTTTTTTTTGTTAATTTATATGAAGATTGAAGATGTTGTATGAACTTGACGCGGTTAACTAACGAGCAATTCATGAATTATTGGCAGTGTTGGCACACTCCAACTTCTTGAACGAACCAAGCTCGGTTGGGCTCACCTAATAAGTAAAATAAATTTATAAATGGACATGGACACCAAAGTTATCTCCACTCCAAATAAATCAAACGTGGTCAATCTACGACTAGGACTGGGTTTATAATTGAGCCAATATTTCTGGGCTTAAACGCTTGAGTAGACTAACAATTGGGCTAGGTCCATTCTTCAACTTCGCTTTGGCTGTTGCTCTCTATCTTAGTAGTACTTGTATAATCTTTTATAATTATACTAAAAAAACAATCGCTGATACCAATTTGTCATTTTTTTGTTTAATTTTTTCCCTCCAAAATACAAGGATGATATCAATTTTTTTCCCTTTTAAGCTACCCTTTTTAACATTGCTTTGAAAATTATACTCCATTTGAATTTTTAAATTTTGGGTTTTCTACACATATTATGCTATTTAGTTATTTATAAGTTGTTAACAATAGTTAATAATATAATTTAATTCAAATTTCCTGATTAAATATGAAAATTATGCACTTTTGGGAATTGCATATTCTGTGTCAAAAAAAAAAAAAGGAATTGCATATTCATATTTAATTAGAAATTAGTTAGGAAAACTGAGGAAGTAGTTATTTTCTTTCAGTATGTGTTAAAATTCTATAGTTCAATTTTTATTTTAAAAACTGTGAACCGCACGGGGTTGACCTAGTTGTAATCTATTACTAGGTACATTTGTTTTAATTTATTTGTATTTAACTAAAATTATTGATACTAAAAATTATTTGCAACAAATGCTTTCATTTTTTTTTTTTTACTTTTTATTTCTTTTTACCTCTCAACTTACCACATGCAACTTAATTTTTCTCTCTCAGTTTACCAATCACAAACAAATTTTACCTTTTTTTTTAAAAAAACAAATTTTACCTAGATTTTGATGAATGTTACAAAGTATATCATTGCAATTAAAATGAAACATAGAAGTATAATATATGTTGATATGTGAACAGTCTGCAAAAAAAAAATGTTGATATGTGAACATGTAAGGATTTACCAACGACGGTAATCAAGAAATTGATGGGTGACAAGGGCTAGCTTCAATGGCGGCCAGCAGTGGCGCGGATCCATGATTTATAGGTGCTGAGTCACCGTCATTAATCGATCCAAAGGGTTGATTTTGTGTAGGATGATTTTGTGATTGAGGATGATTTTATGGAGGAGGAGGATGAATTTTAGGACAAAATTAAAGAAACTTGTTATATTATATGTATTTTTCCTTTTTATTCTAAATATTAAGTCATAATATCAATAAGATTAATTGATATTAATCATATAATATAGGTTACTGTTATGGACTACATAGCTAGGATCAAATAAATAAAAGCAATGGCGGATTCAATTCAAAAAATACCTATAATGAGTTTGGAATTTCGTAGTTATCGAACATCGCATAAGATAATTTAAATTAGTTAATTGATGTATATAATAAAATAAACGTACAAAAAAAATTATGATTGTTGATAATATATATATATGCTTTGATTTAAATGTAAAGAAAAAAAATTATATATACAATAATTTAAATGAAATGAAGAATAAATAAAAATTATAGAAATTAATAGGCTAGTATGTAAATTGTCAAGTGGAAGAAATAGTCAAACAAATTAAAAGTATGAAAGTTTTTTTTAAAAAAATGTACATATTTTTTTTTTTTCATGAAAATAGAAACAATTAGGCCCAAATAATAATACAAATCAAATGAAACAAAAGAAAAACAAAACATAGTATAAATGTACAATTTGTTTTTGGACACATAGTATGAATGTACAATAATATGTAACAATAATATGAAAAAAAACATAAAGGATTTGTGGTGGGATTTGATCCCCTGACCCCTGCCAATCTAAGGTAAAAATTACACTCAAGAATCTATCTATATATTATACTAAAAGACAAGCGCCTCAATGTGAGGATGACAAATGTCACTCTCTCATTGACTTATCTTATGTATAAAATATATCTATATAATTATTGTTTACATATTCAAGCATAGTTATTTTTGTTAAACTTCAAACAATAAAAGCAAGTTTCTAAACATGCATAATATTTCATGATTTCCCAACATAAATATTGATTTATTTTTTTTATAATAAATATATACTTTCCAATACTACAAATAATCCATAAAATCTTTCCAATTTTATAGTCAATTTAAAGAATCTTTTTGTTAATACTAAAAGACAAGCGCCTCAATGTGAGGATGACAAATGTCACTCTCTCATTGGCTTATCTTATGTATAAAATATATCTATATAATTATTGTTTACATATTCAAGCATAGTTTTTTTTTTGTTAAACTTCAAACAATAAAAGCAAGTTTCTATACATGCATAAGATTTTCATGATTTCCCAATATAAATATTGATTTTTTTTTTTTTTTTTATAATAAATATATACTTTCCAATACTACAAATAATCCATAAAGTCTTTCCAATTTTATAGTCAATTTAAAGAATCTATATATTATACTAAAAGACAAGCGCCTCAATGTGAGGATGACAAATGTCACTCTCTCATTGGCTTATCTTATGTATAAAATATATCTATATAATTATTGTTTACATATTCAATCATAGTTATTTTTGTTAAACTTCAAACAATAAAAGCAAGTTTCTATACATGCATAATATTTTCATGATTTCCCAACATAAATATTGATTTATTTTTTTATAATAAATATATACTTTCCAATACTACAAATAGTCCATAAAATCTTTCCAATTTTATAGTCAATTTAAAGAATCTTTTTGTTAATACTAAAAGACAAGCGCCTCAATGTGAGGA